AAAAAAAAACAAAAAAAAAAAAATAAAAAAAAAAAAAAAAAAAAAAAAAAAAAAAAAAAACCTTACGGAATCGCCGATTCACTGTTCGGACTAGCCGATTCCGTACAGTGAATCGGCGATTCGCTGTACAGAATCATCCGGTTCTCTCTAGAACCGGACGATTTCCGATTTTTGGGCGATTCGGTTCCTTTTTCACTATTTCCGAGTCGAACCGGGCGAGTCCGGTTCGACTCGGCGTTTTTTAAAACGCTGGTATATATGTTAAGAATATAAAATACAAACATTTTAAAAAACATTTAGCTAAATTTCTCAAGAGGCAAAAAGGCATATTTGTCATTTCACTTTATTGAGGGCTTATGTTCGTTTCATATATTCGTTGGTCCTACTAGAATACTTAGAAAACAATGGGGCATTTTAGTCATTCTACGTTTTTCAATCCCACCAAAGCCACTTTCCCGCTACACAGGTTTTTTCGTTCCTTCCCCCACCAAAACTTCCCTTATCGTCTAAAACGAATCTGGACCGTACAGATGAGCTGGCCGTGACATCCAACGGCAAATGGTCCGACAGCGCAACTCCTTCCGTCAACCGCTTTTCAGCCGATCAAACACGTGTCCCGCGTCACTTCTCCAGACGACTCAACTAGCGATCTTCACCGTCCGTTTGTGCCTCCTACCACGCGGCACGAAGGGACAGGCGATTGACGGCAGATTTCCATAGAGAATCTGACCCGTTGGATGAGACGCGCCACATTCAACACTTGTTGTGCCTAGATCGGTGGCCGCATGCCGGAACACGTTGATAATTTACAGGTGGAATTTGGAGCTAACGTGGAGGGATCTAGGCCGTTGAGACGAGCTCGTACTTGGAAGGTCCAACTCATGAGGAGTCATAGCTCGTTTGAATTTTACTTTTTGAACTTTTTTTAATTTCATTGATGTGAGATTGTGAATCAATGAAAATGACAATGCTGCCCCTTGTTTATCTAAAATTGTGGGAACCACTTGAGAATCAGTAGATGATTATTTTTAAATAAAAGTTTTAACTTTTTAACCTTCTTATAGTATTATTTTTTGGACCCAGTTTATATGCGGCAAAAAGTGAATGTATTTATGAGATAGATTTTTGAAAAATTTACATATACATATGATATATTTTGTGTTATTACGGATGTATCGAATAGTTTATATTATTATATCTCTGTCCGTTTTTTACTTTTCATAACGTAAAATTTTAAAAAAGACGACTTTAACTTTTTCCACATGTTGAATAAACGAATTGAAAGGCTTTTCGAATGTTCAACATCTGAAAATAGCCTGAAAGTTTCACGTTCACAATCTCATTTTCGGTTGTCCTAAAATAACCTGAAATCTTCTGAAATTTCGCACATCCCATTTTCAGATGTTCAACATCCGAAAATAGAAATGTGAACGTTAAATTTTCAGGCTATTTTCATATATTGAATATCCGAAAATCCCTTCAATTCGGTTGTTCAACACTCGAAAAAAAGTAAATTTGTCTTTTTAAAAAAATTGTGTTATAAAAGGTAAAAAACAGACAGACATGTAATAACATAAACTATTTGGTATATCCATAATAACGCAAAGTACAACGGATATGTATGTAATTTTTCCTATATTTTAAGACTTAAATTTTAAGGACATGTAATCTCTAACACAAAGATCGTGAATATGAAAAAATAAATAAATTTTAAAAACTAGAAATAATAAAATTTCTAGTAAAAAAACATTTAAACCGTTAGTTTCCATTGTTTTTAGATGAAACACCTACTTGCATCCATCTTTAAGATGGATGCTTTACACTTTCTGGACCGCATATGTAGAATGCGGTTTGGCTCACATGAAACAAATTTTTTTATTTTTTTCAAATACATAGAAGACACAATTGAGAAAAAAATTCTTATTAATTTAACGGATTATATACAATGAGACTATTTACTT